ACAACAATATATATATATATATTATTATATATATATATATATATATACACGCACACACACACACACACACAAACACACACACCTATATATACATATATATATATATATTAACGATTTGTTGTTTGTGCGGGTACTTAATTATATCTAACAATCAAATATTTGAAAATGACATTGCGAAAGCGAGCACTAGTGTACATTAATATTTCATCTACTGATTACATTTATATGTATTTACACATTATATTGGTACAATGTACTTTGCGTCCTCACTCTGTTGTTGCAGAGTCTCCATACCAGGTATATAGGTATGCATTGAAGCTATGTATTTATGGATATGTTCTGGACCCTAAAATACAAAAATAGGTATTTATTTTAAATCATGAGGATGTGCTCTGCTTCACCCTGGGCCAAGGGTATTTTCCTTTTTCGATATCAGACTTGATGGCGGATTCAAGCATGCAAAGCGGCCGGATATTACAGCTGCCAATTACTCGATACATATTACCATTCATTCTGTCTTGAAACATGCGAGAAGCAAAAAAAAACACATTCAAGTTCGTGCCCGTATATATTTAAACTAAGTATCGCACTTTTGGCCTTTCATGTGGCATCACTATCCTGTCGATCTAAAATTAGAGATTTGTGTATACCTGCGTATTCCATCACTATATGACGATATTTGTGTGTTCATTTCGCTAAGAGTTGCGATGTAGCCGATATGGATATATTGAACTATTCATATAAGCATTTCAGTCATCTACGCTTGGGCGGAAATTCCCGTCGAGTAGCTGTCTGCTATGGTATCGATTTCAGATTGTCACATGGGCAAACTTAGGTACTCTCCAGATCTGACATACACTACCCGTCTCCAAATCTGATACTCCTTTTGTGGGTTCTCATTCTGTCTTTGCTGGTGATAAGCATAGACGCTATGCAAAACAATTATTGTTACATGGTTACGGCGACCGTCTGCTGATAGCATTTAACTCCTGTTGTACAGGTCATGAACACCGCCGACTATGAGAACCAAGTCAAGATCTTGGCAGCACATCCGATGATCGGGCAAACCAAAAACCTTTCCGCACACTCAGCCAAAGAGCAAGGCAGTGGGGGTATGTACATCTTTTTATCCCTGGCGAAGCCATAGTGAAGAGTGTTGCAACAATGGGGTTGTCTACATTATATGGCGTATGTGTACCTCCCTGATCGTCGCATTAGTATTCTCACCAACACAACGTTTCAGAGTGTTATTGCTTTCGGCTTGCCTGCTGCCGAAAATCGACTCATCTTATACCTGTAGTATACTTCGTAAAAATATCTGAGCCCTGTCATAAATATGCATGCTGATGTAGTACGCTTCTCATATTTATCACTTAACCGTACATACTAAAGCATGTTGATCGATATCGGAGTAAATCAAATGGAATGTAGTGTAAGCTGTGCATTAGTGGACTGGGTGTTGAGCTCGGGTCATATTTGGTCTGTCTCAAGAATGAAAAAAAATCATGATTACGATCGTATTTCGTTATCTCTTCTGAAAATTTCGTCTCAAATTTGCTTGTCTCTATTATTGAATTACACTTGCACCTTTTTGTACACTAAATTATATGGCTTGTAAAGTGTCACTCTAGTATGTACGTGTGGCGTTAACGTTTAGTCAATGTTTAGTTGGTGTCTGCAAGGGGATTTCGGTAAAGACTCCTGGATTACTTTTCTTACTTTTACGCACTGCTAAAGGCATTGAGTCTCTGACGAGGTCATACCACGTCTCGCACGTTGGGTTATTACCTAATTATCGTTGCACTGCATCAGATGGAACTCCCGCTGAAGTTATTGAGCTTCTTGCTGTTCTCAACAAGGAATACCAGGATAAGTTTGGATTTTGCTTCGTAGTCTTCGTGAATGGAAGGCCTAAAAAAGACATCATTCCAGTGCTCGAATCGCGCCTAGGCAATACCAAAGAGGAGGAATGCAAAGAGGGTCTCAAGGTGGGAACACAAACAACTTAATACTATGTCAAGTCTGCTTTTGATTGCTATTCTACACACGCACAAAATATTTTTTTATGGCATAGCGACGACGTGACTGTAGGTGTGGTTTTAGTTGTATTGCCCTATTCCGACTTCTGTTGGCTTAAATTACAGAAGCACGACTGCATTCGAGTTGCTAAGGGTATCAGCAGCAGTCAGAGCTCAAAAAAATTGGGGCAGTGCGATATGCAAATTCCTACTCAACCATTTCTCTCCAAAACACACCCTTAGGCGATGGTACTTATTGCTGAAGACCGATTCAAGAAAATGAATGTGGCGTGAGGAATACGGTCTAGTCACCCGAAACTCTTGCATGAGAACTGCAAAGTCTGTGCACGAATCCAGCACCCACCAAAGGGGTCGATTGACGATTGGCACTCCACCATTGCAGATATCCCTGGTTTACGCTCTTGGTGGGAGTCTCGACCTTGACGTAGCGCTATCGCCGAATGAATTCGGATTTGCATTGCTCAGAGTCGGCAAGCGCAATTGTGGTATGGGCAAGGTAGTCTATCTATAGCATTCACACCTCAGTGGTAGGCGCCCATATGGCGTGTTTGCTGAGTGTGTGAAATAAGCAAGATGCAATTCTACGGTGGCAGGTTTCCGCTGTTGAACTTTCATTGTATACAGGCAAATCGACAGAGGCGACAAGTCTGGCTGCGTTCACACAAGTGAATCTTCAATAAAGTCGACTTTATTCAATATACATTTGATCCACTGATTTTGTGATATTTGTCGATACATCTCAAGTAGTCTGCCTTCATGTATACCACAAATGTGTATACATTTCTGTATATAAGGTGCGAAAGTAGCTTCACATAATATTGATTTTGATGTCTCAAACACGCCTGTCAAGCCATTGCAATTGAGAGATTGTGAAGTTTTTGTTTGTGAAGCGCAAATCTACCAAATTGGTGGCTAAAACAAACACACTACCGTGTTGAGAATGGGTTGATACGGCACTCACCACAACATAGCGTCCCAATAAGTAGAATCAGCTAATTAGATTTCACAAACCATATCACCAAACCGGTCTCGAACCAAAACCAACCCGGCAGATGGTGAAGTGCAATTGCTAACTCGAGAAATATCGCATGATCAGTTCTACTCTCATAGCGCTTAGCACGAGAGCTTGCATTGCTTTCATAGCGTAGACTCGGATTCAGTCCAGGCGCACCAAAATACACACATTCACTGCAACTCCGATAGTTGTTTAAAAACTTTCTCGAACGGAGAGATTCATTTCAACCATTGATAACTATGTGCAACAGTTTCCAGTATAAAACCATAAAAAAAATGCCAGCGTGACCTATTAAACTACAAGGTGATAGACACAGGCAGCACAGCTTTGAACATTTAAAATATTCTTGCTTGTACATACCATGGAGTACTACACTTTACATGTGTACAAGCGCTAAAATACTTGCGTTACTACTTTCGGCCTGCAGAAGGGAGCCGAACGCCACATAGCCCAGCGTAACAATCAGATACCGTAAATAACTAACGGATACGAGGTATTTATAACAGCTTGCTTTCGATACCTTTACTCTAAATAACAACCTGCTTTCTATCAGTATCGCCGTCCCAATTTCTTTCGACCATTCCGCCAATCAGGATCCAATAGATGTCTTATTTACTCTACAGAGCCACAACGCAAATCACACCACACGTACTGTAAGAGTTGCTTACTGCTGACACCAGAATAGTCTATACCAAGAAAGTAGAACACTCCGGCTCCGTTATCGCGCTCCCACGACTACAGGTGACGCATTGTCACATTAATTAGGTATATATTCATACTCCTACCGCATGAACTATCTAGAAAAACTATTGCCTGACTTGCCTAGCAACTTCCCCCCAAACAGTCATTCAATATGCCTCCTCGACACCTCTCCATCCATATAGTTGTCCTACCAGCTTCTAAATCCAACTGAATTACTGTCTGTCACGGTCGAGACCCCATAGGATAATGCTCACTAATGGACGAGTTACCACTACATACTACACCCAGTCTTTTCGTCATAACACCAGTTGACAATAATATTTACCATCTGATCTCGATCACATCTCAAACGGTTCGGATATTCGCAGCCTGACTCGGTGCACCTAATCAGTCTACATAACCGCGGGAAAGAAACTCGTGGGATGATGCATAAGCTACAATATATAATTTACAAAACAAACAATATCGCCCAAACACGATGATCGAAAACGTCTCTTACTCAACATGTAAGGTACAGATTTTGTCGCAATGTAAAATAAAACCAGCCTATTAAACAACTAAATGCGATGTGTTTATACAATACAACGGTGTGTAACCTGCCGTGTATAAGATGAGCACAAGGATTCATCATTATACGACATGATGTGCATGCAAAAATAACAAGAAGCGAACAACCTCACAAAAACACATAACTAGCAAAACAAACAAGACGGTCGCATTCACAGCAAGACAAAACAAAAATATCAAGTACAAGAATATTAAATAATAGTTCAAATCAAGCCATTATAGATCAGTCTATCGTGTATTTAAGCAGAGTTAGAGTTAGGTCCCTTCTTCTTGCCGAATCCAGCGACAGTGGTGACGAAGCGCTGGTTGTACTGCTTGCGACGCTTAGCGCGTCCGGTAAGCTTCTTTTTCTTCTCTTCAGCCTCTACCTTGGGGGTCTGTGCTTTGACCTTACCGGCACGAGAAAGAGAACCGTGGACCTTACCTGGAATACAAATAATCCATAAGCTAAAAGTCAATGCCACGTTCCGCTAAACACAACTAATCTATGCAACCCGAACACGAAATACAAAACAACAAATAACGATTTATATATATTTCGAGTACACTGAAACTTACTATACAATTCAAGTCGACCATTTAAAACCAACATATCCTACCCCAAAAATACTGATCGCGTCTACAATTTTACTAATCAAATAACGAGCTAAAACATACACATACACACCTGAACCGTAGATAAAACATCTGTATACATACAATATACATTGATAAGCGTATACGACGTATATATTTATATATATGAAAAACAAACCTTGCATGCAAACGTACATGAGTGAAATGTACACACATATATTTATGCATGCACAATTTTGGTTCATATTTATATATACCATAAATAAAAAATAGTCACAGAATTAAATGCACTGCTTTTTACAAACCCATATTGAACTTCCGTGCCTGAAGGTGCATATTCGTTGACACTAGTAAGAAAAAGTGAATCACGACCGCAGCATGCCTGATGTACATCGGTTTCGAGTTAAATACATTAATCTCGAATCGATCCATTCGTTTGACTTGCTCAACTTGACAATATATTTTACGCTATAGTAAATTCCGTAAACTTAATTACTGGCCATTAACGTTCCTAGCAAATTTCCGGAAGCGGTCGTATTCAAATCTATTGCGTATATTCTATGTATACGATAGCTCATGCAAAGTAACATCCAAAATCCTGCCAAACATACTAACACGAAAATAATACTATACTGACACAAGAATACATACCTCCGACTACGCGGGCGGAAACATCAACGGACGCCAAGTTCTGACAGTTGCCTAGAACAAACGAGTCCTCAAGCGGCACACCGGCCTGGCAGACGACCTGATCGACACATGCGATACCTTCGGAACGGAAGATAACCTCCTTGACGTCAGCGACGGTAGTGGTGGAGTTTACATCCACTAGGTGGGTAGATTGGGCACGAACAAACAACTGCATGATGTGTGCTTAGAAGTTACACGAGCTAATGCAATACTGAAAAAGGGTTGTGCGTATATGCGATTGAGTGATAATATACAGCGTCGGGTCAAAATAGGAGTTTAGATTCGCAACTCTAGAGTACGCGTGGGTAACCAGACCAAATATAAGCCAAGAAGCTGACTCGAGAGACTCACAAGCCCGACAACAAGCCCGACACAAGCCCGATGAAGTGAAATTATAACATATTTGAAATTAATTTGATACGGTTCGTAAAATATGTCGTAAAATATGTCCATTAGTAAAGCTTCGATGCGGAAGTTTCAAATTAGTTTACAATTTTTTCTCGGTGGGCTTTCGCTTTGAGGTAAATACAACATTCCGACTTTTATAATTTGTTGCAATATGGATCAATTTCGGTACTATTTTATATACACATGTGTTGATGGATTTTTTTTCTATAAATATGCATAGCCTTCTGAAAATCGAACACTTTTTTTCTAAAAGAACAATCAACAGGGACTGTCAGTCAGTCACTGAGGGACACCGGATATACCGAGAGATTCATGAATACCGAACTTTCTTATTTCTCTTGTGACACGATATACATGACGCTATAATAAAGTGACGTACAATATGACATAGGTTGATTTTACATTGTCCGGTGACGGATGATCCTCTGAGGACTGAGGCAACCAGTTCTGAGCGACTGAGCATGTATGACAAATAATGTGTTTAAAATATAAAAAATACATACATAGATTACCATCTGTGACCGTGAGACAGAATTTTTTTGTCGTACATACATATGTATGTATCTAAAGGTATATTTAGCGACATTTTACTATTTAAATTTTGTGCTGAGAATAGGTATAAAGCGGTTCAATCCGTGGCGTTGGTGTTCGTATGCCTATTTACAGCTCATCTTATGCACGTGCAGTTTATATATCGTGTAGTTATCTTTACGGATATTGCAGCATATATATATATATATATATATATATATATATATATATATATATATATATATATATATATATATATATAGTACTATATACTACGACGTACGTACCG